TCGTAGTCGCAGTCGCAGCAGCAAGAGTAGGAGCAGGAGCAGGAGGAGCAGGAGCAGGAGCAGGAGCAGGAGCAGGAGCAGGAGCAGGAGCAGGAGCAGGAGCAGGAGTAGTAGTAGTAGTAGTAGTAGTAGTAGTAGTAGTAGTAGTAGTAGTAGTAGTAGTAGTAGTAGTAGTAGTAGTAGTAGTAGTAGTAGTAGTAGTAGTAGTAGTAGTAGTACTAGTACTACTACTATATCATTATCATTAGTAGTAGTCGTGGTAGTAGTAGTGGTAGTAGTAGTGGTAGTAGTAGTGGTAGTCGTGGTAGTAGTAGCAGAAGTAGATAAAGTGGTATAGCGAAGAACACTTACCATCCGATTATTCCTCGAGTTGCAGCGGGTAATCGCGAATGTAAACCGGATAGCTTGACTAATTAGTCGATTTGGAAGCTCGGCAATGGCAAAAGCTTGAGCAGGAGCGCATATTGTGCATGTGTTGTATATGCAGTAAAATCCACTATGTACTGTACAATATGTACACTACGGAAGGCTATGCACTGTATGTACGGCAGGCAGCCTCAGGAATGTATGTAATGTAAGAATGATTATGTAAGGTATGTGCTGTACATGACGTCGTGCAAAGTAAGTAGTTTGCGTAAGTGCCAGTGTTGCGTTTGCAGTGTGTGGGCATGGTATGCCAAGCATGCTATAGGCATGTATGCACTCAGCAAGCAGTCGTTTTCCTTTTTGAGTTGCAGATAACATTGTACATTGTTTCAGAGGACCAGAGCCCTGGGTCTAGGTAGACTTTGCAGAGAGATTTTGAAAGGTGCAGACTGCAAAGTCGCTGGCCGAGGATGCAAATCTGCCTGCAAATGTGAAACCAGTGGTGGCCAGAATCGTTACTCCGCGAGGAGAACTTTTTGGCGGCAGGTTCTGCTGTTGTGAAGTTCACGTCGGCAAGGAGTGGGCAGAAGCGTCAACGAGCTACGAAGTCAATTGTGTTGATCTTGCTGGCGCACGCTGCAACGGATGACTGCGAAAACCAGTTTGCTGTCAGTGTTATAAACGCATGTCGGCGTTCGTCAATATTCCGGTCTGGCGTCACATCTTGATCCATGCAAAGACGCTTGCATTACTGCAGGATTTACTCCAAAGATGCCGGCGATGAAGACAGGTTGGACCAGGTGATCATATTTGTCTTGGCCGAGTTCATGTCAATGTGGAGTGAAGGCTGAAGGCAGTGCATGCTGAAGGGTTGGAGACCTTGCTGCTAACGCCTCAACAGCTTTTTGTTGTAGAAGGCGCTGGACTTTGCCTTCCAAGCTCACAGCAGCTTCCAGAAGATGGGGCCGAGAAAAGCCGAGGTGTCGGCCTCAAAGGGTTCCTAGACTGCCCAAATAGCGATCCGCCTGTCTTGCGGGGTCACCGGCGCCAGTGCGAGCTGTACTGTTTGTGCCGCTTGATGCGCCCAGGCAGCGTCGATGTTGGTGCTTGGTGATATCCACAGTCTCCCGAAACAGGAGGAGACGGGAAGTGTTTTGCACACGTCTCATCTGCTCCGTGCGATGCTGTCGTTCTGCAGGATGCAGCTGTGCGCTGTCACAAAGACGTGGGCTGCATCTTTTAGCATGGCATAGCAGCCGTAGCATGTCCGTTTGACCATAAGACCCTCCGCCTGTGCTGAGTTCACCCGCTTGTGCGCATCCTAATGTCGCAATAAGAGGGCCATTGACGTAACAGAGGCATTGACCGTCTTCAAGGAGGTCGGTGACCACAGCGTGAAGCCGAGGATGGAAAATGACAGCAGAACGTCAGGGCCCTACAGTTATCCCTACTGTAAAGCCTTCAAAGAAACCTTAAACCACAAACCCCAAGCCCTAAACCGTTCTCCTACTGCTTGTGCTCTTCGAAAAGGCTCGAAGAATCTTTGCCGGACATCAAGATGTCGCGTCTGAGGCCCGACTGGGCTTGATTTTCAGATTATTGTGTTTATTGCAAATATCATTAATAATGTTGGGGTGGTTTCAATACCCCCCTCCGAGGATTTTTGCGAGGGTCTCTCTCGTTCCTAATTTTTTTGGGGTTCTGGGCCCTGAATGTGTTTATTGTCGCCCGCTTTCTGATTGTCACACGAGTGCGAGCATCTTTTGTTTTGGCCATTCTGGCTTGGATTCTCTACGCAATTTAAATTCGTCTTCGCCCGGAAGTTCTGCCCCGCGGAATATTTCTATTCTCATCCATTTTATGAAAACCACTCCAACATTAGTACTATAAGTAAGATTGTGAGTATTCTTAGGATTATCATTGTTCGTATCTTTTTAATATTCATATTGTTGTTTTCACTATTGTTACTACTATTGTGGTTATTGCTATCATCATTAATAGTTGTTTTCACTGTTGGTGCTACTATTGGTATTGTAATCGTCAGTGGTATTGTCTTAACCTGGCCCGTATTTCGACACTCTGTGTTGTTCTTCTTCTTACACTTACTCTTACTTTTACTCTTATTCTTAGTCTGAGCGTTAGTCGGAGTCGTAGTCGTATTAATATTAGTATTAGTACTGTATTTGTTTTAGTATAAATACTAGTGTTCGTGTTTGTGAACGGACAGCGAAGCATTGTCGGTTCGGAAGATTGCCTATATAAGAACAATAAGAGGAACATAGAGGAACGTTGTACAGAGCAAACCTACCAGTACAAACCTACATGAATGCTTCGCGTAAATGCAATGCCTTTCGCTCAAGGTTCTGATCTGGCGCAAGTTTAAGTTTTTTCCTCGGGACTTATGCCCAAGTTCTAGATCCGATCTTATCAAGTCCTCCAAGGAGAAGCGGCCAGGGTTCTTTGTTTTCGTCGCTTCAGTTCCTGGCGGTCTCCTTCGGCTCTGTGAGCAAAAGTCGCAAACTAAGTCCGATGCGTCGAGGCAATGGGCTTCATGCAGGCTCTCGGCATGGGTGGGGAGATCGAGGAGTGCAAAGCTGTCAAGGCTCGAACAAGCTTCTGCTTTTTGTTTCCGGTAGCCCTGTGACAGTGCTGAAGGCTCGATGCGAGCACGCGCGGGCAACAACAGAGGTGGAAACGACGGTATGGAAGCACAGAGATTTCACGTGAGCAATTTTAACAATACGAATCGAGAAGGATAATTTTAGAAGATAGAATTTGAGCAATCAAATAGGACTGGCAGAAGAATATGGCAGAAAAAAATTAATAGGAAGAATCGACAAAGATAAATCTAGGAGATAGATTTGAACAATAAAGAAAGAATGGGCAAGATTAAATTAATAGGATGAATCGACAAAGATAAATTTAGAAGATAGATTTGAACAATGAAATAAATTTGATGAAGAAAATTTATAAATTTAGAAGATAGATTTGAGCAATCAAATAGTTATGAGAAAAGACACTGGCAGAAATAAATTGATAGGACGAATCTGTAAAGATAAATTTAGAAGATGAATTTGAGCAATCAAATAGTCATGGGAGAAGAATATGGCAGAAATAAATTAATAGGACGAATCGGTAAAGATAAATTTAGAAGATAGAATTGAGCAATCAAATAGCTTAGAAGAACCTGGCAGAAATAAATTGATAGGGCGAATCGGCAAAGATAAATTTAGAAGCTAGATTTGAGCAATCAAATAGTCATGGGAGAAGAATATGGCAGAAATAAATTAATAGGACGAATCGGCAAAAATAAATTTAGAAGATAGATTTGAGCAATCAAATAGTTGTGGGAGAAGAATATGGCAGAAATAAATTAATAGGCCGAGCCGGCAAAGATAAATTTAGAAGATAGATTTGAGTAATCAAATAGTTGTGAGAGCAGGATATGGCAGACAAAAATTATTAGGCCGAGTCGAGAAAGATAAATCTAGAAGATAGATTTGAGCAATCAAATAGTTGTGGGAGAAAAATATGGCAGTTATTAGGCCGAGTCGATAAAGATAAATCTAGAAGATAGATTTGAGCAATCAAACAGTTGTGGGAGACAAATATGGCAGATAAAAATTATTAGGCCGAGTCGGCAAAAATAAATTTAGAAGATAGATTTGAGCAATCAAATAGTTATGGGAGAAGGATATGGCAGACAAAAATTATTAGGTCGAGTCGGCAAAGATAATTTAAAAAAAAGACAAGGGCGAGTCGATCAAGAGATAGATTTCAGCAAATAGATAGAATAAGGAAAAGAAGATAATAGAAGAAATCTAAAGAGATCTATATGGCGTTTATAGATAAATATATAAAATATTATTTGGGAAAATATACTCCGAAACAATTGTTTCAGAAATAATTTCCAAGAAATAATTTCCGAAACAATTATAATCTTATTTAATTTTTTATCTCATAAAAAGATAAAAAAGCCGATAAATTTATTATAAGAGATTTAAAATCTTAAATATAAATATAATTTAATAAGATCTAGAATTTCTGAAATTAGCCTATTTATATTCTCTAATAAAACGGTGTCGTGCACCCTGATCCCCCTATAATGCGGTCGTTTGCGATATCTCTTCGTGAAAGCTCTTATATGTCTATCTCAAAAAAAAATATCCTAGAAATTTTAGTGCCGCGAGCACTTCTCTCCCGACTCTAAAATCGCGGAGATTTTGGTAGTTTTAGGAAATCTCGCAAAATTAAAATCATTCAAATTTTGGTAGCTTTAGGCTGAGATGCTCCCAGTAATAAAATCTCAGAGATTTTAAAACAGGCACCCATACCCCGCCTGGGAGTTGCATATCCACTTATACTTGTCTACCTAGGAGTTCTATATCCGCTTATATTTGCTCGACTTGCCGCGTACTTCTTCCATACCGAAGAAAATAATCTGAAGGTCATATACCTATGGTTCTCCCTTAGAAGACTCATGTCATCATCATCATCATATATATATATACACATACTCGATGCGTATCATAAACCCATGAAGCTGGGAAGAGTGGAGAGCTGGACAAACCCATCCGGGCTGGCTTTTGTCGTCGAATCATGAACATTGCTGCGATTTTGCCGCTGCTTACCGCTTACCAATCGTCCTGCCCAAAGCATCTAGCGATTCTGACATGACACGGAATCCCAAAAACCTTAACCATAAACCTTTAATTCTCTGACTGACATCCGCCCAAACCCTGATGCCTGGACATCAGTTGTCCGGGATTCAAGACACTCAGGTCATACAACAAATAAGTATGTGTTCCGAATTGGTCGTCGGTTTTCAAAATTTCTAGGGGTGTAGTTCGCTGAAACTTGGGAGACCCTGCAAACCTGAAGCCCCATGGCCCCACAAATCCACGCTTCAGCTCAAACTTGGGACACCAAAGTCCGTTGTTGGCTCAAGTCCATTCCTTCACTGACTGCTTCTCCAAGTAACTTCTATTGCAAATTCAGTAAGGTGAACAGCTTGTGTCTACGTCCGCTTGGTGACGGCTTGGCGGCCTACTGAACTGGGTAGATGGTTTGGAACTAGTGATCCCTGTCTGCTGCCCCCCACGTCTGCATGTGGACCCGGAAGCTTAAAGTGAAGCAATGACTTCCCGAACGTGCTTCAACGATGTCAGGCCCTAACACCAACGGCTTTGGGTTTGAGTTCAGGCAGCCTGAATCCCCAAAAGGCGGTTCTCTCACCAGGCCGTTTGCTTCGGCTGCTCAATCAGCTTTCACCAGAACTAATGCAGGGCTTCTGATAGTGCCAACTATTCAAAGGCATCATAATTTAGAACAGCCTCAGTACCGAATACAGTAAGCTTCTTGTGCCAAGCTCGCAAAAATCCACAGAGCATGTACGTATCTCCATAGAAAAGCACCGACAACGGTTCATACCCGTAAACTGACATACCAGTCTATGCCGTGCGATAGCATCGTCATGAGGATGTCAAACTTAAACTCACTCTCTGTCGGCTGGAGGCAGTCGAGGCTGCAGGGCTGTTATCTCAAAGTTCGGATAGTATTCGGAGAACAAAGGTTTGATTCTTTTGATGGTAGTTGTAGCTTCCTTCGCTGAAACAAAGTGGTCGGTTGATGCCAATACCAAGTCCAACGCCATTTCGGAGCCCAAACTTTGCTCCATGGTCTGTCTATATCTGTCGAGGACCTACTCTAGTCATGGTGAGAGATAGCTGCTCTTCTAACCAGGATTGCGCAAGATGCAGGGGGGCTTACAAAAGCGCACAACAGAGAAAATGTCCCAACCAGCTGTCGATGAAGGCAGCTACTATGCTACCCACAAAGCCGTAGACTCAGGTTTGATGGCCAGTTCGGTTGTATTGGCACTTGGCACTGGTCTGCTTGGGCGTTTTCCCAGGTGGTAAGTGTGCAACGAAGGCATTGTGTCATTTGCATAATTCCTGCGACAGAATTGCCACACAGTTTGCTCTCCTGTCGTGCGACATCGTCTATGGCGTTGGGTCTTTGGACAGGTGAAGATTGAAGGTGTGCCCTTGCGTGAGTTGCAATGGCGAGCGTGTGCAGGTTTTGTTTTGTCAAAATCAATACGGTGCATAGCCGCTGAAAAAAACTACGGCAAGCACCCCGACACCGAAACCCTGAATCCTCGTCGTCTGCTTCGATGCCATCCGCATCGGAGTCTTCCACATCCTCCCGTGCAGAATCTCTGCACATACACATGCATAACATAAGCTCGCCAAGCACAGCATAAACGTTCTTGTTTCAGGTGTGAGGGTCGGGGGGTGCCGAGGTTCAGGAGAATATTCGAAGGCATGTCGTGGCAGGTTCTCACAGCGCGACATTACAGTAACGGTAAACATGCGTCAATAGGCTTGGCTGGAGCTTCTGTGCACAAGTGTTACAGTGGATGAGACTTCGGATATATCAAAGCAGTACGGACGCTCGGCTTTCTCTGCTCCTTGAGCCACGTGTGACCCGAAACTTCACGCCGCACCATCTCCTACGCCACACCTGCTGCTACGAAGAATGCTTCAAACTCACACCTGCGCTGAGCTCTGGACACAGACTGTTGGTCAGATGTAGTGCAATGGCTTTGGGATTCATTGAACTTGGTGTGAGCCCGAATGTTAAGGAGATGCTGTCGTCTTCACTCCCGACTTATTGCGCGCCCCACCCGATACCAAGTGTTAAAAGCCGGTGACAGACCTCGGAGCGTCGAGTACCAGCTGCCGCTGCTAAGGCGGCAAACTTGGAGAATCAGTGCTTGCGGATTGGAATTTCCGGTCGCTGGATTCTAGAACCTCTGAAACCTAAAGCCGCTGCCCTGAGTTTCTGAGGTCCGCGGAAAGACATCAGGTTGTTCCTATGAAGGCTGCCTCCAAGAGTTGATGGCCTTGGGATTTCAGGCTTTACGAAATCACTTGTGCAGGCCAGGGAGCCTCTGTCTAACTCAATGAAGTACGTGTGGACAACGAGTCCTCAAATATTCCTGAAACTGTTGAAGCCCAAAGCAGAATCACCTTTCAACATTCCAATACCTAAACCCAAACCCTAAGGTTAAAGTGAGCTTCGTCTTTAGATACTTTAGATCTTCAGTGCAACAAACGACTTTGATCAAGGTTCCAAAGCCTTTCGCTCTGAATACACACTGAGTCAACCTAGCCCTCTGGGTCTTCGTTTGTATTTCGTGGGTTGAGGATATTCAAGCCTCACAAACAAAGGTTGGAAGAGACCGTTCCTGCTCGTTTTCGAATCTGCTTTCGGGGTGCTTCCTCTAGCCACTGTGGCCTGCAGTGCCATGCAAACCCAGCAAATCTGAGTTCAACACAACAGGATTTCTGCTCTGTGCCCCAATGCAACACCAACTCAAACAGCCGAGCCCCGCGCAGCTGGGCCTGCCAAAGACACGAAGCCAGGATTTGACTCGAGGTCCTCTGTGATGCCACTTTCGGCAGCCGCGCTGATGGGGGGATAGGCCTTAAAACGCTTATGGGTTCATCGTTTTCCAGTTTACGGTATGGGAATCTGGTGTCGGTTGAGAGGTTGAAAAGCTTTAACCGCCCCAAGCGGTCGGCGATTGGCTCTGTGGCTTGAAGCCTTCGAGCTTAGAGAATGTTGCATTTACTTCTCAGAACTTCCAGTGCCTCAGAACGCACTCTAAAACCGTCCGCAACAAGCTGACCTACAAGACAAGATATGGATAGGGTTGGAGAACAAGAGACTTAGATGCGGAACCCAGAACATAGAAAACACAAGATCTCGCAACACTAGCAGCACTGCCGTACAAAAAACACCACGAAGAATCAACATACCAATACAAAACCTGCAACTCATAGTAGAACACACAGAACTCACACTAGTACGAGCAACCGTCGTCACAGTAGTAGTAGTAGTAGTAGTAGTAGTAGTAGTAGTAGTAGTAGTAGTAGTAGTAGTAGTAGTAGTAGTAGTAGTAGTAGTAGTAGTAGTAGTAGTAGTAGTAGTAGTAGTAGTAGTAGTAGTAGTAGCGCGGTAGCGGTAGCGGTAGCGGTAGCGGTAGCGGTAGCGGTAGCAGTAGCAGTAGCAGTAGTAGTAGTAGTAGTAGTAGTAGTAGAAGTAGTAGTAGTAGTAGTAGTAGTAGTAGTAGTAGTAGGGAGTAGTAGTAGTAGTAGCAGCAGCAACAGCAGCAGTAGCAGTCGCAGTGGCAGCAGCAGTAGCAGTAGTAGCAGTTGCAGTAGCAGAGGCAGAGGTCGTAGTAGTCGTAGTCGTGGTCGTAGAACTACATACAGAAGAAGAAACAGTGACAGCCATTTTATTAGTGCAGAAAGGACTGTTGCGTGGGGTGGAAACTCCTTTAAATTGGTTTAGGCTTGTTCGGGGACTCTTTCCTTTCTGCCAATTCTGCCAACAGTCCTTTCTGCATGATTTCTTGATGCACCTGTATGTACTCGGCTCCTCGTGTTGAGGTGTGTGTTTTCTAAGACACGGAACCTGCTTTAGAACATGTGTTCCTAACCAAACCAAAAAGCAATCCTACCAAAACAAGGACTTCCACACTAGTCCAGACTCCGGAATGGTGTCATCATATTCAGATTTTTTGTGTTTTGTTTCTGTTGGGATCTTCGTTCTTTTGACAGCTGCTGTCTAAAACATCCGCGCAGCTTTAAGACACTTCGTCTTCCTCACCTGCAGCCGAGACTTTACACTGCCAGATCAATTTACGTCAAGGCTGCTTGGAACTCTGCACCTCCCGAAGGAATTCGAGCAGGCTTTCTTACTAGCAGGTCCATGCAAAATACACTCAAACATTTTTGCGATGGAGGTTCAAGCAGTCTTCGGTACCAGCAACTTCCCGCAAAATCAAGTAACTCTTTTTGCGATGAAAGCAACATATCGAAACAACACTTCCAAATGATTAACAGGCTTTTTACTGCAAACAACACGGGCCATTTTGACGATGCAACCTGTAACTGTAAAGTGTATTACCCCATGACCTCTTTCGAGATGACGTCTACTCAATAAAGCACTTTGCAACAAAATTTCAGTTCTTGTCATAAGTTTCACGTTTTTTTTGGCGAGCAGACTCATTGTTTGTTTCATGTTCCTGCCCCTGATGTGATACTCATAGCTGCTCACACGAAAACTACATTGTTCATCATATTCTTACTCTTCTTGATAAGTTTAATGCGATGCAGATGTGATCTACAGCTGTTGTCATCAAGCGCCGAGACAGCCCGTGTTACCACATGTCTCACATCTGACACACTCTCTCTCTCTCTCTATATATATATATACATACAGTTCTATGTATATTTTTATATCGAAACTTAAATGCACATTTAAATAAGACTATACGTATTTCTATGTATATGTATATATATATATATATATGTGTATGTATGTATATATATATATACACACACCTACATGCCTTGTATGTGACTGTTTATCAGAGTAGTTTTCCTTTTCTACTTATTTCCTGACTATTTGCAATCGTCTTTTGGCTCTGACCGGATTAGCGCCCAAACCTCGATGCAACCTCACTAACAACGTTGAATCCTAATGAACAGGAAACGCGTGTACAAGCTACGGCTGTTTCTGATAGAGGAGCATATTCTACCTAATATCCAATATTATGTTAGCCAAAGAAAACATTTTTCCGCGTGGTACTACATAATCAATACTGCATTACTTCAAGCAAAGCAGTTGTGCCCGCAGCGTCCACTGAAAGTAATCATGATCGACCTGAACATCGGGAAGTAAGCAGTGCATACACTTAATCTGTGTTATGCTCGGGCACACATTATGATAGCAGTAAAACTATGATTTGAAATCAAGCTTGTTCAGTCTTGTTCATTGACTCGTACGGGATGTGCCGTGCATATCCCACAACGAGTTGATCCGAGTTATCTTGTTGAAACAAGACTTGTTCATGTCGCACATGTTGAACCTTACGTCTCAGCATCCTGAGTGCACGATGCCTGGGTTTCCTGCGTGTCCTAACTGATAGGTTCGAAGAAAGGTAAGCTTCCAATCGCGTTTTGCTTTTGACGAACCATCCAAGCAGATGTGGGACAAGGCCGAAGAACCAGATCGCCTGATGCACTAACAAACTATAGCTGTAGCTCCATACGTACAATAAAGCTAAGCAGTTACAGAACAAGTTCTCAAGCATGTCATGCAAGTAGAACAATGAGCAAACCAGAAAACTAGGACTGTCTGAAGTCTCGCGCTGATGAGTTGAAGCTGGATTCGTTTGTCTAATCTAATCCCTATCAGGTGCGCAGGTTTTTCCGCTTAAATGGCTCCGCTGCCGGCAGCCTCCTTGCCCTGCAGCGCGCAGCGCACTGGTGAGGAGCCGGCCTGTCAATCTGTGCAAGTTTGGTTTCAGGGTTCGGGTTCAGGTTGCTAGGATTTTCAAGCTTTAATGCTTTATATAGGTTTCCCGCTTGCATTTCTGAGGAACATCAAACTTGACCATGTTGAAGACTACCCATACCAAGCAGGATGGGAGGAATCTCGGTGTTGCTCTTATACGTTGAGGCTCTACTTCGATTCGGAGATGGTGAACAGACATTGAGTCCTGAACCCTAACTTCCAAACCTCATTTTAGAGCCCAAGCAAAAAAGCAGGTTGGAGTTGGCTGCCAGCAGTACTCAGAGCCTACTAAGTAACGAGGCAATTGGGCTAAGGCCTCTGCATATCGGGTTCGGCTTGATATTTTCAAGCGAGCGGTATTGGCTTGGGTTGGGGTTGCAGGGTTCCCCAGCGCCGAGGTTCGGAGAATATGAAACTCGGGCTCCGTTTGAACGTTTGGAAACAGAGCTGGTCCATGTTCTTCAGGTTCTTGACATCAGGTTCTCCAAGGGGTCGAACTTCTGATTTTGCCCCCATCTCTCCATAAAGGTTGCTGTGCAAACCCTAAGCGCGCCCCCCTTAAGATCCTCTGCCTGCCACGCCTTTACAGCACTTCTTCTTCCAAAGGTTCACCTCTGAGTCGGGCAACCCTCAAGCTCGCTGGAAGTCTTGAACCCCGAGTCTTGAATTCTTAAGCGTGTGAAGCCCTTGAGAAAAAACGCCCCCTTTGCCTCCTGGAGGATGTCACAAAGTCCTCGTGCCACCGCCTGCAGCTGAAATGTTCTGTGGGGTTGGGTCCGGATTCGAGATTCGCGGTTGCAGGTTGTGCTCTTCCAAGCCCCGAGCCCTAAGCCACTAGGACGCAGACGCCGACTTCAGCCCCAATCAGATTGTCGAGGCTACTGAGAAAGCCACGCAAGTTGTTTCGGGGTGTACGGAAAGCCCGAAGTGCACCCCGCCAAAGTCGTGAAGTCACGAGCATCCGAAGCCCTCACCTTAAAAAGCCCTGCAGCTGTTGCAAAGCCTCCACTATAAATCCGAAAGCTCTAGGGCCTTGCTGGACCCCAAGGACCCCAATACGTATCTCGAAGGCAACGTCGACAGCGATGGCCGCAATGCGAGTCATAGCGAATGACAGTCGTGGTGATGATGGGGGCGACGAAGATGACTGCAACAATGAAGAAGTAGATGATGGCTCTGACTTCAAGCATGGTTATGACGATGATGATGCTGATGCTGTTCGTGATGAAAATGATGCTGATGCTGCTGATTTCTGCGACTATGGAGATGAAGCAAACATAAAGATGGTGACGACAATGATGTGGATGATGATGGTAAGGACTCGATGAGCGTTTCTCGTGGCCAGACTTATGATCAGAACGACAATGATGTGGATGGTGATGGTAAGGACTTGGTGAGTGATTCTCGTGGCCAGGATTATGATCAGAATTCATACAGGTATTGTCATGGTGAGTATAGCTAGTAGTAAAATTAATGCGACTCTTCTTACCAACCCTAAACCCTAAACCCTAAACTGTCCGCATCTGCAGTTCGTAGGATGCAGGTGACCTCAGCGAGGCTCGAGGCCGCGGGGCGGTCGGCATGGCCTTCTGGGAGGCCTCCCACGACGCTTTGCACGCAGTGCTGTTGCCGAGCTTCTTGGGTTCTTGGGTCACAGGGTGGTGAAGCTTAGGGTTTCGAGCCTGGGGATTGCTGGTTCGAGTTTCGAGGGTTCAGCTGAGGGCTAGTCGTCAAGATGACCGGCATAATTGAAGTGCTGGGAAAGTGATAGTGCTGCTGCTACTATACAAACCTGAATACAAGTCTGTAAGTAAGAATGTACGTGGCGAAGTAGCTATGTATGTATGTATGCATGCATGTTTGTATGTATATGTATATACCTGTTTATGTGTGTATGTATGTATCCTGCCAACTTTTCCAGTTCGTGGTGCTTCAACAGAGTAGACGGGAGGGCTTAGCAACCTCCAAGACAGTCTTTTCAGCCCCAATGCTAATACTCACCTTGGCTGCTTATGGGGCGGACAGCACCAGGCAACGGGCAAGCGAAACTATTGGTTCTTGTTGGTTTTGGTTTAGATTTCCTATTCGGAAGTGCGGGCGAGGATTCTCAAGAGTGTCGGGATGCCAAACCAGCCCGGCACGAACACATGATGATAAACTACAGAATACACGGTCTCTAAACTGTGTTTCCTGCCTGTGATAGTTGTTGTGTGAAGAACTTTGAATACGTAGCCACTCAATGCCGCCGTGTGGTATCCGTTGACTTCTGACTATACACAGGCTCAACCTGACCTTGAATACATTACTCAGGAAAAGAAATGTACAGACTTTGTGGTGTAATGCTGCGTGTACCTTTCAAGTGCTTGAAGTTGTCAAAATGTAGATGCTTTAGAGTGCAGATGTCAGGAGATGTCAATCCCGGCCACGATGATCCGCTTTGTGCCCTTGATGTGAACTTAGCCAAACGACGATCAGCGCTGCATCCTCAGTGTCACGTTGTGTATTAGGCGGTCAGTCGGAACAACGCCTATCTGCCGCAAGGCCGTCTTGTTCCATGCTTACCCAGGCCTCCGGCCAAATCGCCGAGGACCTCCAAACGCAGACGGATGGAGACCAGTCGCACCCGACGAAAGTTCCAAGCACAAGTTGCAAGCCGACTCAACCAGAGCAACGCAAGCGCCTAGCAAATCAATAGACCCACATGCACAACCCCCGTAGTGACCCCAAGTCCAGAATCCTGAGCACTGTGCTTTGCCCATCTTGGCCAAGGAGTTTGCGGTTTCTGCCCGAACACCGGGGTCAGCGTGCTTGGCCTGGTCAGGCTGCTAGTTTTGAAGGCAAGCCCCTGTAGTCTACTGCTCGCCAATTTGTCGATATCGCTGCCCGAGCGGCGAAGGTTTAGAGGTTTACAGCACGAAACCCACAGCTACAGTCACCACAGGCCGAAATTTGCCCTTCAATGTCACCACGTGTAGGTCTAGAGCCATGAGGCTCCGGATTTGGAACAATGAACCTTCAACTGAACCGTCGGCAGTACAGACCCCAGTCTAAATCCTGCATGGCGAAGACCTTCAATTGAACATTCGACCTCCAGCCTTGAAACCACCGCTGTGACAAACGATAGTGAACCAACCTCAACTTCAAGCCCAGAAGCCATCAAAGCAAACATTAACGCTAAGCCCGCATTGACTACACTCTGCAAACCTCAGGCTTAAGGCATAAACTACCATGTCTCAGCCTCGAACTTTGGGACATCTGAAGCGATTTACGAACCCGATGATCTTTAACGAAGGCCTGTGCGCACAGAGTTGGCAGCACACTGGGCAGGTGAGGTGCAAACCTGGATCTTGCCAGCAATCTTAGCGGTGCAGAAGCTCAAGATTCAGCCGAATTTAGGTATGTCTCGAGTCTTAGTCTTGGGGGTTGATGGGACTTGGGGTATGACAAATTTGGGGATGTGCGCCACACCGCCATGTCCCTTGGTCTCGTCCACCCCATCCCATGCGAGTACACCTCATCCACCATTTCGATGGGCCTAGGGTTCAGGCAGTCTAAAGCCGTGGGGTTATATATATATATATATATATATATATAGATATAGAGTTAAGGGGTTCTTGGGCCAAGGGCCAATGGTTGCTGTTCAGAGGCTTTTAGGGGCTTCCTGGTTTATGAGGACTTGGCTCTTTCGAGGTTCTTGTTGCAAACCCAGTCGGGAGAAGCTCTTAATCTCAGAAATCTTCGGCCGCTCCTAGTCCAAGGATCCACGCTCAGGAGTTGGGGTTGCCTTAAACCGTTGACTGCAGTCGGTGTTGGCCCAGCCCTGAACCACAGCCGCGCTGACGGGATACCTCGCTCCCACGGCCGCAACGTAGGTGCCGACAGCTTCAGTTGCAGCCAACCTTTCCTGCCGGTGAGGTAGTAGACACGACTCATGGGGTGCGGATGTCGCTCGAAAACCTTCCGACATTCGCGGAAATTTCTGTTTCGGGTTTGCAGAGATTCCAGGATTTCGGCATGATCGTTCGATCTCGCGCCGCTGAGGTGTGTGTCTTCACCGCATGACTCAAAAGCATAAATGAAATAGAGACGAAGCCAGGGGATGGAGCTCACTTCTGGGATCTACAGGTGCCAGGATTGGGGATGGAACTTCAATGGATTCGGGGAGGGACATGCCTCGACAGCCTGGAGGGGCTCACCAAAATCAGTTCGGATAGCGATCCCAACCTCAAACGATCATATTTTATTGCATTGTAGGGCCCTAGAATGCAGTTGACGGTGAGTTACGGCGGTTACGTTGTATGTTTTCAATGAATTTTGGAACCCTCCAGGTCGCCCCCCCCCCCCCAGCAGCGTTCCTCATGGCTTCCCGTGCGGACGGCTCGCCGCCGTCCGTGCTTCACCTTGGTCTTCAATGTAATGGCCATTTGCATGATGTGCTGACAGAGTGAGCTGCGCGGTGCAGAATTCCGGATGAGCTAAAACTTGCAAAATTTCCCAGGGACTCGCACTGATTGCTGTTTCAACACCTCAGACACAAGTAAAGCCCTAGGAACCCTATGTCCTCCCGAAACTCCGAGCCTTGCCGAGGCCTGGCCCCCAGACCTGAAACTCGATGATCGGACCCGGGCTCTGTGACACCCTGTGACCTTCGAAGAACTCCCTAAAATCCTGGTCTTCGGGGTGGTTAGGGCCAGAAGTTGGACGTTTTGGGCTTTGGATGCCAATCCGAAACCTTTCTCAAACTCACACAAACAGGGCGGATGCGAAGCCTTGCATGAACCCTGTGCAAATCTTGTTTATGACTGGGGTCTTCAGGATGCTATGTGCACAAAGCTGCTCACTAATTCAACAAGCGCTCATATCTACGTGCCCTAAACCTGAAACCAACTTCTTTGACATTTTGGGCAGATGCGATGCTCGGCATCCCACCACCTCCCCGCTTTCTGCCACCCTGAGGGCGTCCAAAGCGAAGGGCAGGACCTCAAAGGCGTCAAGGGCTCAGGCAATTTAGGACTTGGTGTTTAGCTTAGGCTCTATGATAGTTTAGGACTCTCTCTCCCTCTCTACATAAAGAAACATGAAATAACAAAAGCACAAACAAATACATATATATATATATATATATATGTACATACATACAAGTACATAATATATATATATATATATCTATATATATATATACTATATGTACACGTGTATATGTATATGTATGAAGTATATAAACTGCAGCATTCATGCAGGTTTGCCTCATGCTTTGGTGCGCCATCACTGTGAGCATGTGTCGGACATCCATGGCAGCACGCGTGCTCATAGCAGCCGTAGCAGTCCTCGCCGTCGTCGCAGCAGTAGCACGAGTAGTAGGCGTACTTGACTAGCTGTAGCAGTAGCCGCAGCAGAACTAGCAGTAGCAATAGAAGCATAGTTCTGCTAGTAGTAGTAGTAGTAGTAGCAGCAGCAGCAGCAGTAGCAGTAGTAGTAGTAGCAGCAGCAGCAGGAGTGGTAGTAGTAGTAGTAGTAGTAGTAGTAGGAGCAGTAGTAGTAGTAGCAGTAGTAGTAACAGTAGCAATAGTAGTAATAGTAATAGTAGTAGTAATAGTGATAGTAATAGTAATAGTAATAGTATTAGTAATAGTAATAGTACTAGTACTAGTACTAGTACTAGTACTAGCAATAGTAATAGTAATAGTACTAGTACTAGTACTAGTACTAGTACTAGTAATAGTAATAGTAATAGTAATAGTCATAGTCATAGTCATAGTAACAGTAATAGTAATAGTAATAGGCATAGTCATAGTCAACGTCATAGTCATAGTGATAGTAATAGTAGTAGTAATAGTAATAGTAATAGTCCTAGTAATAGTAATAGAAATCGCAATAGCGATAGTAATAGTAATTGTAATTAACAGTAATAGTAATAGTAATCGTAGTAATTGTAATAGTAAACTTAGTAATGGTAAAAGTAATAGTAATCGTAATAGTAATGGTAATAGAAATGGTAATAGTGATAGTACTAGTAGTACTAGTCATAGTAATACTAAAAGTAACAATAACAGTAAGAGTCATGGTAATAGCAATAGGAATAGTACTAGTAATACCACTACGTAGTAGTAATAGTAGCTGTGGCTGTAGCAGTAGCAGTACTAATAGTAGTAGTCGTAGTAGTAGTAGTAGCAGCAGCAGCAGCAGTAGAATGTTAGTAGTAGAAGTAGTAGTAGTAGTAGTAGTAGTAGTAGTAGTAGTAGTAGTAGTAGTAGTAATAGTAGTAGTAGTAGTAGTAGCAGTAGTAGCAGTAGCAGTAGTAGTAGTAGTAGCAGTGAGTAGCAGTAGCAGTAGGAGTAGGAGTAGCAGCAGCAGTAGCAGCAGCAGTAGTGGTAGCGGTAGCGGTAGCAGTAGCAGCAGTAGTAGTAGTCGTCGTCGTCGTCGTGGTAGTAGTAACAGTAAGACCGGCATTGTTATTGGTAGCAGTCGTAGTACCAGTTAGTATTCTTCCTGTTACTCTTAGTTGTTGTTGTTGTGGCTGCTGCCCCTGCTGTCGTCGTCTACGGCCTAGTAGTCGTCGAAGTACTAGTAGTAGTAGAGCAGCAGTAGTAGTGGTGATGACAGTGGAGTGGTGGTGGTGGTAGAGGTAGCAGCCGCCGCAGTGGTGGTGGCGGTGCTGATGATGGTGGAGGAAGCGGCAGCGGTCACAGCTCGGCCATAGCTTCTACCTCAAACACGATTGGCGATTGGGTTCTTGATGCCATGTGACAGGTTAATAGTTTAAGCTTCGAGCTTCCTTGTGCCATTTACAGCCGGGGGAAGTGCTGAATTCCTACTTCACTGCATAAACTCGAAACCTCTGAACCTCGAAAGCCCTAACCTCGTTCACTCAACAGGTCGCCCATGCTGCCGGCCCACATCACCGAGGGGCACTATCGGTCCTGAGGCGGCTGCTGTCTCCAATGTTGGCGCGAACTCCTATGTGCAGGATGCTGGTTTGGGATGAAGGGGCATCAAGAGTCAAGTGGCAGGAGCTAAGGCTTCGGTGCCGATCACAGGAAGACTGCTTGTCACAAGCGCACACATCGTTGAATATCAGCACCATGTGGTCATTTAGGCATGGTCAAATTCCCAAAGTCATCAAACCTGCTAGCTTCCAGGTATGTCAGGTCTGGTTCGTATTCTGGGCTTTGCCAGACCTGGCATTGCCGTGCGCCGTGCTGATGCCAGCAGGGATTGCAACTTGCATGACTGCGCTAATGCTAACGAAGACGGTGGCAATGCTGTGGTGAAAGCCGTGATGATAGCAAGAACAAGGATCACGGTAGTTCCATCTTAATGTTTGCTGAGGATGGAGTTCAGGCCAGGCCCGAGATAGAACGTATTGGGGTTGATTGCAAACTGCCGGCCTTGCAGTGGGGAGTAGTTGGATTCGGGGCGTAAGGGTGCGTCTGGTTCTCGTATTTATGGGGAAGAGCATAGCCACGTTGCAAATGGTGATCTTTGGGATGAGTTCTGCATGTGTTTCTGGCCTCCTGCTCTGAAGCAATGACAATACTGCGTGGGAAATTAAACTTTGCATCTTGTCTTTCTAAAGAATTCTAAAGACAGCCAGTAGCCGGCATACCTTCGCTCCTCGAACCTTGCCAGTGCCATCTGCGAATAGAAGCTGTGAGAGGCTGCTTTGGCCTGATTCAGGAAACAGAAGGTGCAGTATCAAAGCAAACTCAAGCATAAACTCAAGTTCGAGTCGAAGACAAGGTTGTGGTGGTGATGATGAAACAGAAGGTGGCAGTGCTGGCTTGTCTCGGTATTTGTTTCGTCCTTGCTCTCCGCGTAGCACCAGTGCTAGTGAGTACGTACGTACACACGCACCGAGTAGTGGTAGTGGTGATAGCAGCAGCGGCAGCAGCAACAGTACCGGTGGCATTGGTAGTGGTAGTAGTGGAAGTAGTGGTAGTAGTGGTAGTTGTGGTAGTAGTGGTAGTAGCCGTAGTCGTAGTCGTAGTCGCAGTCGTAGTAGTAGTATCTGTGGATCGGTGCTGGCGTTGTGAAGCTTATCTATTTGGATGTCATAGACATCGCTGCTTCGGTAGCCGGGCTAAGCTCGACGACTCGCGAGGTGGACCCCGGACGTTCGCCGCGAATGGAAGGAAGCAGCAGGAGCAGCAGGAGCAGGAGCAGGAGCAGTAGTAGCAGCAGCAGCAGCAGCAGCAGCAGCAGCAGTAGTAGTAGTAGTAGTAGTAGTCGCAGTCGTAATAGTCGTCGTAGATAGTCGTAGTCGTAGTGGTAGTGATAGTAGTAGTAGTAGTAGTAGCAGTAGTAGTAGTAGTAGTAGTAGTAGTAGTAGTAGTAGTAGTAGTAGTAGTAGTAGTAGTACGGGGAGGAGGAGTATAGGAGAGCAGTAGTAGTAGTAGTAGTAGTAGTAGTAGTAGTAGTAGTAGTAGTAGTACTACTACTAGAGGTGGTAGTAGTACGGGGAGGAGGAGTATACGAGAGCAGTTGGAGTAGTAGTAGTAGTAGTAGTAGTAGTAGTAGTAGGTAGGGGTGGAGGGGTGGTAGTAGTAGTAGTAGTAGCAGTAGCAGTAGCAGTAGCAGTAGCAGTAACAGCAGCAGCAGCACTACTAGAACCGCTCCACTACCACTACCAGTACGACTGCGATTACTACTGCTGCAAACTACCAAGACATGGAGCAGCGGCATGTACAAGTCACGTGTCGGTAGGCTCTTGGGCAACGCCTATGGTTGTGATGCTAGCAAAAACACCACCGAGAGTCTTACATCCTGCACGGCTGGGTCTAGTACCCGGTTGGAACTGGAACGCACTACACTTTCGCACACATTTGGGTTTAGGGGCTAGAATGTCTTCGTGCAGAAGACCTCAAAACCGTATGACGTTGGCTTCGGAATACGAAAGCAAGCACACCTTTGCGGCACGATCCTGAAGTATGCTCTGCAGCAGTTTCAGGTCACGAACACCTTCCAAACCACCCTGTGGAGCCCTACATGTCGCAGCAGCTGTGTTCTAGCCTCGCTCGGTGCTCTCGCATTCAGGAGAACGCTGCGAGCTGTGGATGCCAGTTCCTGGAACAGGGGGCTGCAGGCATCAAAAAAAGCATGTGGGACTTGCAGTACGAAAGCAGCTAAGGATGGTAAAGGAATAATTCAGACAGCTAACTACTCAGGACCATACACTGCACTCAGGCCCCTGCTGAGATGTCCACGCAAGACTGTGGGAACACGAGGACATCAAAATCAGCCCGAGAATCCGAATACACTTGAAGTCATGCAAAACATTGAACGGTATATTGTCTCGATGTATTTAGCAGTCTCTGACTCGGAAGCCTGCTCCCTTTGCAGGGCATGCAGCTTTGTCACGAATGCTGTGTGCGGGTCAAGTGCCATGCATTAAGATCTTGGTCTTAGACCATTCGTCTCTTGCAGACTGTGTACTGAAACTTGATACGATGGAACCCTATCCCCTGAAGTCCAAATGCTCGTGATTCAAATTCGATGAAAAGGCGACCTCCTTTTCTGCTTGAAAGCTTGGGTCTGCCCAAGCCGAAGCGATAACAGCACCTGGCAAGCTCGGTGAGCGCTTTGTCAATATAAGATTTTCAATATGACCCAAACAATAGCCACCGTCTCCGATGCCGTTGTCTGATGGTACTGATTCTCAAGATGGTGATCCCGCTGACACGGACGATGGATATCATGCTGATCACGGTGCGGTGATGACTGTACCGTGGCTGCTTGGCAAGCAGTACCCTTAGCGGGGTTGCCCTGTTCAATGACGCGACAAGGAAACGCAACTTGGAACAGTTCCATGATACTTTGTTGCTGCAATCATATCACCGACTGGCAACCGAAAGGATAAGACTGTGTACATCAATCTAACGTCAAACAAGAAACGATGCTGTTCGCTTCTTGCCTGCGGCATCCAGGCAGGCTGCCAACACCTGGGTTTCAAGACTTGGAAGTGCGCTCCAAGCCCATGAGTCTGAAACCAGAGGGTCGGCCGACAAAGCGGTCGCCATGATGATGCCAGCAGTAGCACAGGTTCCAATTGCCATGATAGTAACGACAATCGAAAACCGCAACAACAGTGATCAACAATAGCGAAGCAACATAATGAAACAGAGACAACCTGTGAACTTTTCCGTGCCGGCATCTTATGAGACCCCGATGAAACGGACCAGCTTTGATGGCGCTTTAGCTAGTTTTAAGCTTTAGGAACAAACTCGCCAAGGGAAAGCCGTAAGCTGTATCCTCGGTCCCAGGCTGCTGGGGTGAGCAAGGGCGATGGCGCGCTGCCAGGAGCGCCTCCTTGAGTTTTGCAGGGTTTCCAGGCTTTCAGCGGTAAATGGCCTGCCTTTGATGCTGGTCTGGATCTAAGGTTCGGACATGATTTCGCTTAGAAAGGAGTCTGTGCCTAGCAGCCCAATGCCGAGACCCACAAGTCTTCAACATCTGTGCCGACTCGCAAGCAGAGAGACTTTGTGTGAGGTATTCGGATGACTTAGAGCGTTCCCAAACCCATTGCGATTCCTCTCTCTTCGTCCCCAAGTCTGAACTTTAGTCTATCACATGGATGTGCGGGATTGTATTCCGGTGTTCTCCATTCCCGCACCGGTTCCGCCCCTGTGGTACCCACGAGTGGTCGGCGTCTGTTTCTACACGTTGTAAACTTTTCTACTCTCTGCCTAAGGTCCGGCTGATACCTCTAGAGTTCTCTCGTTCTCACGACGACTTGACCTCTGTCCTAGACTAAACCCTATTATGACTATGGCCTGGTATGAAGTTGCGACTCCCATCTCTGAACTTCTCCAAGACCTCCACCGAATATAGAAAGGCAGCCCAAATGCACGAAAACTCTTGCTAGTCTCTCCAAAACCCTGCGGGCACACGACATCTAGATATGTGTCGGATTGCCCAATGCTGACTTCAAGCTCCTATTGCTGCGTTTCCGCTTCCGGTCCGGGCAGGCGCAGAAAGCGGACCATCTTTGGGCTTCGACTGCTTTTCGGGTAAACACATCCGCCAGTAATGTCAAGAGGGAATGCAATCAGGGGTCCGGGTTGGGAGGTTGCTAGTGGGACGGCTTAATATTCGGATGATGAGGTCAAAGTATGCTCTCAAGGACCCGGGCGAAAACTTAAAAGGCTGTCGGGTCTCAAACTAAACAGGTCTCACTTCGCTCAGATGAATTCCGCCACTACGGCACGACGGCTCGCAAATGTCTCCGGACGATTTGGATTTAGTCTCTAAGCTTCGTCAATACCTGGCACAGTTTCCAGCTGGAAGGTTTCCGTAGTTTCTTAATAGCTTCCCGCCTCCCTCACCGGAGTTTTTGCGAAAGACTTTCCTTTCAGCGAGTTATTGAATCGCGCCTCTGCTGTCACAACTTTATGTGTCCTGCGCTCTTCCCTCTCCCGCTCTCCTTACTCTGGGCCTCCCGGTCCCTCACCTGGTAGCGGCTTGAGGCCGACCCAGCACAAGGATTGCGTATTCTCTGTCTGGGATTCCACGGTGTCTTCTCTAGGGAAAAGGGTTTAGGAAAACCCCAGCCTCGAAAACTGTACACCCTGAATCCTCGGAAACGCCCTCCGGGAATCCCTGCCAGCTCCAGCCGAGGCATTTGCCAAGCGAAGCTGGCAAGCGCGGGGTGTTTGGGTCTTGGGTGCAGGCTCAGGGGTTTAAGGCTTTTCGGTTCAGAGCTTGAAGTTAGGGTCACGCTTACCGGCTTCGGTTCTCGGATTTAAATGGCATGAACTCTTTGACATTCGAGGATGCTTCGAGATCAGGGTTCACGAATGGCAAGTATAGACCATGCACTTCATACTGGTGCAAACGCTGAGAACCGTCATCACACAAACTTATATAGCAGGTCATGCGACAGAGACTGCGGTAAGAGTTGTAAACAGCTGCCGCCATGTCCGCAAAATCTCACCATCATCACCGAATATCACCGACATGTTGCTCATCGGGAGCATGATTTCGTGCAAATGAAGGTTTTCGGAGAGACCAAAGCCTTCCGCATCGACCACACATCCCTAAGAACATGAGGGTGAACGATGCCAGAGTCATTCGAAGAGTAGTCAAAAGCTCGCAGGCTTTTGACTGATCTGGGGTCCGTTGCAAGTTCGACTTCCCAGCCCGGTTTCAAAGGACTTTTCAACAAACAGCACTTCTTGGCAGGAACGCCGCCTTGTGACTCGCAACCCCATGAACATCGCACACGAACGCCACACAAATCCCCGGCACTTCCTGAACCCTGGAGCCTGGAGGCTAAGCCCTCTGCTCTGTCAACCCCAAGCCGAGTCTGCGACGATGGACACCAAACTCTTGGCAGCCTGTCAGCTGGGTCTGGTGGTTTACAATCGGCGGAAGGGCGCTGACTACCCTGAACCCCAAAAGTTGTGGGTGTCAACTCTGCTAGAATGCCGCCGAGTTAACCTAAACTTACCCAGGGCTGTAGGGTTTGCGTGTTGGAGTGAGACCGAGGCCGCATCGCCTGACCGGAGAAAACCACAGCAATGTTGTGCCTCTGGGGCGAAGGGACCAAACATATCTGCCGTCGTGGCAGCCTGGCCAGACGAGTCATCTCAGGGCATGTAGGGCCTATTCCTGCGCACTAGCAGCATGACAGAATCCCGACGACTGAAACGCTCATATCCTCAACGGACTTCCCTGACTTCCGCCAGTTCAAGCAGTTTGAAGGCCCCTGGTCCGCACCATCACGGAAAGTAGCAGCAAATGCAGAATCGTATTGCGGACTTGTACTACGAAGCCATGCCTTGTTTTTCACTTCTAACATTGACCTTCGGGCTCTTTACACCTGACAAACTATCGAAAGGAAACTGATGCATGAGTTAATGCAGTGAAACGAAGCAAGAAACAAACAAAAGGAACAAACAGTTCCAAGCCCCAGGTTATTTATGATTCGTCGGTTTCTTTTCAATTAATTCGCGCTTTCGGCTCACAACCAGAGTTTAATGATGATTTGCCAGTTTTCTTTCAAATTAACTCGCACTTTCGCTTGCCCTCAGTGCATTTGGTGAAACAAAAGGAAATGATTCTCTGTGTTCGACGTTCGAAATGAGTCAGTCAATGATGCAAGCCTCTGTATTGAGAAACTAGTCTGTTTTGCGTTCATAACAAGCCCCAACGACTAATTTGATGAAGCTGTGTGCCGGTCTTTCGCATAATCTTTTGATTTGGTTTTCAACAGCTTCTTACTCCCTTCAAGTGGGTGATTCAGCAAGTTCTTAAATCTCAAAAGAATAACCAAGTTACATCGAGCACATGCTGTATGATTTGTGCTTGCTTGGCTCATTGCGAGATTTGGGCCCTGCGTGCTCTTCGTTCAAGCAAATCAATTCACCTCACGGAAAGCTCAACAACCTCAAGAAGAATGGTTATTTCTGTTATCGAACCAAAACAGAAAACACAATGACACAAACAAGCGGCATGATCAGCAGGAGTTACCCTCATGCATGGTGGACAGGAATGTGCAGAGACTGCGGTGTCGATCGAAAGTTTTACACACGACAGCGGCGTGCTTTGGGCATAATTCGAACCCCAGTAACGTCCCGCTTTTGATGGTTGTGTTGAGGCTGAGGCAGCTAAGCTAGACTTGGCAGGCCAGCGTTTCCTGGCCGTGGTCTCGGTACGACAAGCAAGCTTAGATTAAGCTGAGGCCTGCATATGTCCAAAGGATGACGTCTTTACAACAGAAATCCGTGAAGCAACTCTAAGTTTCACCCCTTAGCAATCCTCATTAGTGAAAGGCTGAAAAGCTAAATATCCCTCACACAGCCACACACAGCCCGATCAAATCCTGTACCTACTTTAAACGTACGGGTAGATCGATAAGGCCTGACACTCTGTACTCTTACACTCACAGAACTGAGTCCCCATCGAAAGCTAATTCTCAATTTCGGTCCACGAGCTTCTTACTTCATGCACTTTCGTCACCCTTGGCAAAACCGGTGGTGTTTTCCAACGTGACTGACCGGCAAACTCCAAGCCCAGCCTAGAGCTCAAACCGGAATCCCACCAACCTTAAGCTCCAGAACCATGTACGTCGCGCGGGGCTTCCACCACAAACCGCAAAGCCAGGAAATCCAACACACGACACAAACTCGGCTTCGGCACCAAAGCACGCACTGCACGTGCCGTGGCAGCAGCCGCGGCTGCAGAGGCCGTGGCTGCATCCGTAGCCTCCTGGCGGCCTCAGTTCAATTTTTAGTGTTGCAAGTTTTGGAGCTCAATTTAATCTCAGTTTGTGTAGTAACAGATTCTTTTAAGAGTTCTGCATGTTGTCGTGCCGGAAGTTGTTTTTGCTTTGGTTCTGGGGCTGTGGCTCAAGACCAGCCCGGCTTATCAAAGTGGAAATCACACTCAAAGCAATTGGTGCCAATATCATCACTTCTGATGCAGTTGGACTGGTAGCAGTAGTAGTAGCAGCATCGGAGGAGCAGACGTAGTAGGAGTAGTGGGTAGCAGTGTTGATAATAATGACAATAGGAGCAGCAGCAGTAGCATGTGAGTGCACATACGTGTACCTGTGCACATGTCTCTGCATGCTGCTTTGTAGCTTTGTTGCATGTTGTGTTTAATTTGAAGTTTCATGCCAAACAAATGTTTTTGGCTCAAGTGCTTTGCTTTCTAAGCAGTGCCAAGTGTGCACGGCTGTAGTGAGTTAAGGTAGCTTCGCGCTGGCAGGCACTTGGGACGGTTCCGGAATTCAATCTCGGCCCAACAAAAGCTTCTGGCAGGCACTTGAAACGGATCCGGGCTTCAAACTCGGCCGAAGGAAAGCTTCTGGCATGCACTTGGGACGGATCCGGGCTTCAAACTCGGCGCAAGGAAAGTTTCTGGCATGCACTTGGGACGGATCAGGGCTTCAAACTCCGCCCAACAAAAAGCTTCTGGCAGGCCTTGAAACTCCGCACAAACAAAGCTTCAACTTGGCCCAAGGAAAGCTTCTGGCAGGCACTTGGGACGGATCCGGGCTTCAAACTCGGCCCAAGGAAAGCTTCTGGCAGGCACTTGGGACGGATCAGGGCTTCAAGCTCGGCGCAACAAAAGCTTGTGGCAGGCACTTAAAACGGATTCGGGCTTCAAACTCGGCCCAACAAAAGCTTCTGGCATGCACTTGGACGGATCAGGGCTTCGAACTCGGCGCAACAAAGCTTCTCCGCCCAAGGAAAGCTTCTGGGCACACTGGGGACGGATCAGGGCTTCAAACTCGGCCCAACAAAAGCTTCTGGCATGCATTTGGGACGGATCAGGGCTTCAAAATCGGCCCAAGGAAAGCTTCTGGCATGCACTTGGGACGGATCCGGGCCTCAAGCTCGGCCCAAGGAAAGCTTCTGGCATGCACTTGGGACGGATCAAGGCTTCGAACTTGGCCCAACAAAAGCTTCTGGCAGCCACTTGGGACGGATCCGGGCTTCATTCTCGGCCCAAGGAAAGCTTCTGGCATGCACTTGGGACGGATCAAGGCTTCAAACTCCGCCCAAGGAAAGCTTCTGGCATGCACCTGGGACGGATCAGGGCTTCAAACTCGGCGCAAGAAAAAGCTTCTGGCAGGCACTTGGACGGATCAGGGCTTCGAACTCGGCGCAACAAAGCTTCTCCGCCCAAGGAAAGCTTCTGGGCACACTGGGGACGGATCAGGGCTTCAAACTCGGCCCAACAAAAGCTTCTGGTATGCACTTGGGACGGATCCGGGCTTCAAACTCGGCCTAACAAAAGCTTCTGGCAGGCACTTTGGACGGATCAGGGTTTCAAACTCGGCCCAAACAAAAGCTTCTGGCAGGCACTGGGGCGACCAAGAACGTGCGCCTCAATCTTGCTAATCTGGCTTTTTGAAAACAAAGACGGGGGCAAACTTGACACGCAAGTTTTGCAAGCTTGCCTAAAAAACACTTGCACTACTTGCACCCGCGTGGCCACTTGCACCACCTGGACCACTTGAACCGCTTGCGCCACTTGAGTCACTTGCACCTTCTCCTCGTGAAATGGTGCAAGTGGCGCAAGTGGTTCAGGTGGTGCCAGTGGTGCAAATGGCGCAAGTGGTGCAAGCGGTGCAAGTGGACCAACATTGCAAGATTGACCAAGACGGACAAGATGGGCGAAATCTTGGTCCCAAATGCAGTCGCGCTGGCAGTGGCTGCCCGAGCCCTCCTCAGCAAGTATGCCAATAACCCCAACATTCTCCTTGGCCCATGCTCTTTGGGACTGTCCAGCGTGGTCAAGTTTTCATACTAGCTCAATTCCTGAGTGGGCAGAGGACTCCTCCCTGTATGAAGGACAGGGCCTGCTGACAGTCTCTTCGACTGCTCATCCAGCTCACCAACTTTCATCAATCTGTACTTCGGTCCTTTTCTTGGTGGAGTTCTCTCCCCTTATGATTCTGGTGTCGCTGGCCCTCACCCCGAATTTGAGATTGCGGGAACGGTCAGGTCTAAAATGCAAGTAGGCTCGTCTGTTAATGACACTGACTCTGTAGCGCTGGATGAGCATGCCGCACCGAAGGAGTAGTCTCACTTGCCGTGGACTCTCAAGTCGCAGTCAGCAGCCTGCCACGATCTTTGTTCACACCCAACTCCCGCATCTCTTCTTGGCCACAGAAGAGAGTCGTTCCCGTTTGCGCACGCTGTTTGGGCGAAAGGCCATCTTTGCCTGCCAGAGTTTCTCAAATGCTTCAATGCAGAAGCTAAGTGGGCTTGGGAAGCCAATTGCACTGCTGCCATCCTTCGCGGCAAAGCTAACGTGAACCACTTCAGCTTTGGTTGGGCCAACCAAAACAGACGCTGGAGTAACCTCGCGTCTCAGGTTTCAGTTTTCCTTGCAAAAATGTGCGGCATGCCCTAGCCATTTGCCCTGACAGGCACGACCTCATCCAACTTGCACTTAAGCATCGGATGACGAGGTTCACGTATCTCATCCCATGTGAAATTGCGGACGAGCTTGGACTGGTCGCAAGTCTGGCAAATCTTTGCCGGTTCCCGGCGGAGGCGTGGCAGCAGCTGCTCACCCAGGCCGGTCTCACTCGGACCCTTTTGGCAGACTGGCTATCTCAGGATCTTGCCCGGGAATGAAACACTCCTAATGTATGTATGGCCCGGAACGGGCTTGTCCCCCCGAAGGCCCAATAAGGGGCGACAAAGACTCTGCAAACGTGTCAGCAGGAGGAAGAGGTGGAGGAGGAGCAGAAGCTGTCGCAGCAGCAGCAACAGCAGCAGGAGCAGTAGCAGAGGCAGCAGTAGCAGTTGTAGCAGTAGCACTAGCTACGACAACAATAGCAAGTAGAGCAACTAGAGGCCGACAACTCAAGATGAAGTCAAGAGCTGCACCCGTAACAGGGATCCCGAACTACACCCTCGACACCGACCCTTCCCAGCAGCAAGTTTAGAAGCTGAGTGCACGGTTTAAGAGCTTTAAGGGAATCGCACCCAGTATGTCCGGGAAGATCCAAGACATACACACTGCCGCAGACACGACTCTTCGCCAGTGTTGCCAAGGCCGGAGAATGTTCAAGCATACGAAAACACAGAGTAATGAGACCGGGAGCCAAACTTAGGGGGTCAAACAGGCTTGTGATCGTGTGACCACGGCCCCGATCCTTTCGCTACGTACCCGCTCCACTCAACTGAAATGTGTTTGAGGTATAACAAATTAGAGCAAGTTCTTCAAATAGAGCCGAACTACAAAATTACCCCTGAGGCAGATCGATTTGCGATTACGTCATAGTGTCCCAGATCACAAAAGAACTGGCCGATCCTACAAACTTGAGAGGGGATTTCTGGTTGGGGTCGTATTGCGTTTGGGTTTCAAGCTTTTAGGGTTTTAGGGCGGGGCCTGGAGGAAGCAAGCTGGCTTGAGGTTCTCGCTGCCAACATCGGTGGCGGCTGCTGCGCTTGCAGCAGCGGTCAACGTGCTGCGCGACACTTTGGTCAGCGCCTGGTGTTCGTGGCGGAGAACAAAGGCGGTCACAAACCACTCAGCCTGAAATCTTATGGTTTAGCATAACCTGCATTTCAATCCTCCGGAGCACAAAAGTAGTACAAGATGTTGTAGCGCTCCAACAGTTCCGAGGAGAGAAAACGTCCTCGAGCATCTTTTTGCGGACAATGCTAACAGGAACTGTTCTCTGGACTTCTTTCCCCTTACGTATGTAGGCATGTATGTTTGTGCATGTGCCTGTATGCATTCGTAAGGCTCGGAGGACAACGGCATTGTGTTCGGCGGGAAGCCCCTCCCGCCTCAAAAAGAGCCGGAGCAACCGACGAGAGAATGGACGCTGCCTGCGCAGAAGCTGCATAAGGCTTCGGGTCTGAGCTTATCGCACTGGGACAAGAAGAAGACACGCCGATGTCGAACTGCTCCAAGTTGTCTGGGAGAAACTACCGACCCGACCCCTCAACGCTAAACCCATGTTTGACTTTGCCGGGTACTTTCAGACCAACACTTCCGTGGGACCGGGACGGTGTAGAGGCATAGGGATATGTTCTGGTACTGCCGGGTGGGGATGTGTTTTTGCATCTCATGTGGGGCCTGAAAGACACAGGCTTCTTCTGGTAATCCGAGGACTTCTACTTTTTCCGTCGCTGTTCGTGTAGCCACAAAAGCTCTTGGCTGGTTTGGGCTTGGAAGGTTCAGGTTGCATCACAGTGTGGCCTCGTCGCTGGACAGCTCCTGTGCGAGCGCCGCGACAGCGAGCGCTGCCTTGTTCACAGGACAGAGCTTTACAGGGGGTTTCTTGATAAGTCGTAGTCTTTATGTTTGGAGGGAAGGGGCGCTTGGAAAGTCCTACTATTTTGGCCCCATATCGGATACCCCATCTTCTGAAGCTCTCTCATCGCAAGTGTCGCTGACCCTGCTCAGTGGGCAAGAAATCAATGCCGTTCAGGAGAACCTGCTTGTCAGCCCAGTGGCACTCTGTGTGTTGAACTGATTGAACGGAGTCTGCAGATTTCCCATCTGAACATGAAGCTGAACATAGAGTGCTCTGAAACTACTGGAATTGAAGCGGGAAGGCAGCTTGGCAGAAGCTCGTACTCCAAGCTCCGTTCCCTTCATCCCAAAACCCCAGAGGCGGTCACAGCCATTGAAGCATGCATTTCACAATGCGGTGCTGTTGACCAGACACAGCAGTCACCGTGGCGTGATTGGTTTTGTAGTGGTAGTGGCAAAAATTTCCTGTGATGTGCTTGTGATACGTTCTGCCCAAATGCATCGGCTTTGCCGGCGTATCATATGTGCAGCCGGCTACATGTGCTTTCATCTGCGGAAACATCTCTAAGGCGACCTGAAACTAGTCCAACACTCAAGTCTGTTAACCTCGAGCGAGCAGCAAATCCTCACCCTGGTCGCCTTCTCCAACAGATCCGGCTGCGGCTCTCGAGGAAACAGCGCGCCCAGGGCTTGCAGCAGAAGAAGGAATCCTGCAGTTTGCGCAAGCAGTGTGAGGACGACGGCGAGGTTGCTGATGCAAACGTAAATGCAAGTAATAGTGTTGACGCAGATGAGGCTGAGCTTTCTGTTGTTGTCGTCGTCGTCGTGGTTGCTGCGGGCACCGGAATAGCTGCTGAATCTCATCTTCATCCTTTGCTTCCTCCTGCTCCTGCTCCGTATACTGCTCCACCTTATCCTCCTCCAAGATAATTTTCTTGCTTCGGACGGGGCATTCGAGATTTTTGGGATCAGTTGAGGTCTCTCGCTATCCAGCTTGCCGAAGATTGTGCTGCGCTTCTACAGCCAGGTTTCCTACACTTTCTTCTGATCCCGAGATTGACAAACGAGTGCATTGCATCCAAACCAAAGCTTGCAAGCCCTGCCCCCATGTTCAACGCTTAGACAGATAAAATAAGATGTCCCGAACGGAATCGAACCGCAGGCCCGCTCTTCGGAGAAGCTGCAGCGCAAGAGCCAACACATATTTCTTGCAGCACGTTTCGATGGACTCCGATGGACTTGTGCCGCGTTCTGACTGTTTTATGTTGGAGAATTTCGGCAAGGGTTCAGAGCTTAGGAAGGTTCGCCAGCGCGAGGCACACTTGCAAAGCTGCTCGAAAGACTGTGGAGAGGTCGTGAAAAGTTCCAGATCACAAGCAACAGTGAAAAGACCCGGAATCTGAACTTTGTTGCACTCGTGCCTTCTGTCGCAAATGCAGAAGGTTTCAGCTCTTCCGCCAGCATCACGGCACCCTCGCATGCGGCCTGCAGACCGCCACTCGTCTATGCTCAAGGGATGGTTGGTGTTATCGGAAGCGTAAAACCTCCCAGACTCCAGACCCCTTATGAAATGCCAGAGCCTTCAGGCCAACGCATCTAAGCAGAAGTGGCTCCGAGCTCAGCTCGGCTTTAAGGCTTTTAGGTTTCGGGGTACATACCCCAAGATGCAACAGCATCATGTCGGCGGCACTTCGACTCTGTGCACGCACTGGCTCTTTAATCGTGGCACGTGTTCTTCCCCCACACCGAGGTGCTTGCACTGCGTGAGTGCTCGTGCATATACCTTTGCTACCCCCACGCCACCAGCTTCGACTCCAACTTTGCACCGACCGCTGCATTCTGCAACTCCGAGCCAGCCGACAGCTTCAACTGAGGCAGGGCAAAACTCCGACTCAAATAAGTAGATCCAGGCTATACATTGGTTACAATAATGCTTGCCACAGGTTGTGGCCGCAGACAGAGCTGGTGATAAAAGATGAGTGAAGAAAAGGAAGCAGCCTTCGGGACGCGGTGATTTGGGGTTTGAGGTAGGTGGCATCCCTGCCCGAACGACGAAACCTGACACCCTTTCTCTGGCGAACTCGCAAGGACAACAAACAGTCCTTGAAATGATGAGTAATGACGGGCACAATCACATCAGGTCACCATGAACATCCTGAAGACTAAACCCTAAAGGCCTGAGCCCGAAGACTCAGATTGTGAACCTTGTAACGGCCCTTACGTCAAACCTGCTGAACACAGCTACTTGTAGAGACGTAAGCCCCTGAAAGCTGAAGTCGCCTGGCGCACCCAGACTGCCGCATCGCCCAGGGAGCGAGCCTAGGCTAGCCAAAGTCAAGACCGGTCTGCCGTTCTTCTACTTTGGGACTTAATTCTTGGGGCTTGGCTTTGCCAGCCTTGGCTTCAAGAATCGGGGTTCTGGGGTTGTTCTCCGTCAGAGTGTCCTTGGAGCAATTAATCGGTAGGAAACTTCCAAGCCCCGTAGTCTGAACATCATCAAGTTGGGCTTTGGGCTCTGGAGCTTTATGGTGGAAGTCGTTTCACCGTCAAGGGCCATCTCAGAAATGATCTTCTTCCTGAGTTCAGATCTGTTGCAAGGCCCCCAGCCCAAGGTCCATCTTGCGGGAAACCGAGACGCAGCATATACAAGATAGGCAATGTGAAACCTTTGCTCCCCATCGGACTGACAAAGTCGGGCTCCTAACTCCACACCCCCTTCAGTGGAACCTCGCATCCTGCCCCAAAACCCCAACCTCCAAAAAGCCATGCAAAAAACTGAATTAGCCCTGGACCTGAGTGTGGGGCCAGCGGTGTCGCCCAGCCAGCTGGAGCCTTCCCCGAGCTGACAGCATCCGGTCACTCACCCCTACAGGGAAGGACACACACCTGCTGGTGCTCGGACAGCACTTTTGCTTGTTTTACTTTGGGGTTAGGGCTCGCTGCCCTAAGACACAACGACGAATGGTTCGTTCGGACAAGTCCGCCAAGCCTGAACACTCAATAACCAAACCATGATCTAGAATCCAAGCCCTTCACGCTGAAATGCCAAGCGAGCTCTTGAGCGATGCCCTTCGAAGTCCTGTAAGTAGCTATTCGTGTTCAGCTTGGGTATGTAAGATGGGATATCCACACAGCTCCAATTTCCAAGGGCCATGTGCTCAGCTGCCTCGTCTGTGGATTAGGGTTTTAAAGTCCGTGATCGAGGAGGCATTAGCAACAAAAGGACGAATGCCGGAGCTTTCAATGTAGTTCTTCATGATCTAGTATTGTGATAGTTAGGTAGGGAGTCTGCATCACCGTGGTGACCGTGCCCCAAATCCCTTACTCCTATTGCTTAGGGTCCGCAGTGTAAGCTCTATACTTCGTCATCATGACATACTTGTACGTGCGACGGGTATGGAGAACAGTTACCCTCAACCTTCATATCAGTAATAGTCATAGTCGTCGCATTAAGCTGAAGTGTCGAACTTCTCTTCCGGGCTGAAGACTTGTAGGGTTTACAAGACTTGTAGGGTTTACCTAGGGTTCTGAGATGAAGCTTCAATTTCAGAACTCTGGCTCCGAGTTCAGGCTTTGGGTCGTATAGGGTCAGGTGCCCGCACAAGAGGGGCACGGCTCAGGACAAAGAGCTTAGGGCTGGAAGAGTATGAATTTCAGGTGCGCTGCTGGTATGAGTAGTGCACAAGCCCATCAGGTCGAGTATATAAACCAGAGAGAAACACTGCTTGAGCAGATGTGATGATACAGTAAGGATTGCTACTCGCGTTTGAGCCGCAGGGGCGCGCACAAACGGGAGTCACGCACGCATACTCTGCTTCCTTCTGATGCCACCTTGATTAATGTCAGTGTCGTTCAGAATTTGGAACATAATACTTGACACCCCTGATTAAAATGCCCGGAAGTTTTGCAGATTCCACCTCCTGAGCTCCCGAGAGCGCGAAGGCCACCTTCGTTTGGGATCTGCGTCGTTCGGTCTTGGGGCGTGCCGGCTTACGGGCATTGGGCTTCAACCCTTACGTGCAGATTTTTCAAAGATCATCGTTTTTTTTTTAAAGATCATCTGGTTGAAGGTTCGAGCCCTCCAGGATCCAACAGTGCAGGCAACCGGAGTGTGCGACGTTGTAGTGTAGTAGTTTGGGAGGGCTGTACGGTCCTCGAGTGTTGAGGGGTTTGGGACTTGTCACGGCTGTCTGCGCGTTCTCGAGGCATCGGAGCTTCAAAGTGAGACCAGTAAAAACCCTTCCAAGTTCTTCTAAATCTTAAAGTGCCCTACAGTTCTAATACCTGGCAACTGAAAGGCAGCAGGGCACGAGGACTCTTTGACGAGAGAATTTCAACACAACCTGCGGGTTCCGCGAAGCGCTCTGGGCCTGCCTCCGGCTGGGGTCTGGGGCGCAGTAGGGTGCGTGTTGAATGTTTAGCGTCCTGGGGCTTGACTCTTGTTCGCGATGTGCGGGTTCGATTCGATGTTTCGGATTGGGACTCGTGGGCCAGTCTGAACAAGCGCATGTGAGACCCTTCGATCCGTCCCGAATCCGACCAGTGATTCTCCTGCGAGTGGGAGGGCCAAGCAGGAGGACAATGTGTTCTCATCCCAGCGGCAGCTACTTACGGCTAGTAATAGTATCATCACGATGACTGCTTCTTCTGGAGCAGACGCATCATGCACACCAGCGTCTGCACACACACACACACACACACACACACACACACACACACACACACACACACACACACACACACACACACACACACACACACACACACACACACACACACACACACACACACACACACACACACACACACACACACACACACACACACACACACACACACACACACACACACACACACACACACACACACACACACACACACACACACACACACACACACACACACACACACACACACACACACACACACACACACACACACACACACACACACACACTCACACGCACACACGCACACACGCACACACGCACACACGCACACACGCACACACGCACACACGCACACACGCACACACGCACACACGCACACACGCACACACGCACACACGCACACACGCACACACGCACCACGCACACACGCACACACGCACACACGCACACACGCACACACGCACACACGCACACACGCACACACGCACACACGCACACACGCACACACGCACACGCACGCACACGCACACGCACACGCACACGCACACACACACACACACATTTGCTTCACTGTGCGTCTGTATTATACAAATGCGCATGTATACACGCATACAAAAAGAAGTGCATGCGCAACTACCTCCTATATAAGTAAATAAACAGATGTCTATATATATATATATATGTAGATAAAACATATTGATCTATCTGCCTGTCTTTCATGCACGCATGTATGGATGCACTGACGTACATAGGTAGGCAGATGCGTATGTGGGTAGGTAGATAGATAGGTGGGTAGGTATGTACTCGTGGATGTCTCCAGTGTATCATCGCCTCAACGACCTTCGTCCTCGTTTTGCTCGATGCTTGGGAGATGCATAAATCAAAGGGATCGCAGCTGTGCGCCCTGCCGCATGTACGGCTGCAGCTCGGTCCAAGGCCTGGGCCGCCAAGTCGGAAGCCCAACAGCATCCAACAGCTTCCGGACGAGGATTCAGGGTGCAGGTTACGTAAGTTTGCTGTACTTGACTGCTTGGGGCGCATTGAGAATGCCCATAACATTGGTGACCGTTCAACCCGGATCCGTTAATCGGGCACCAAGGATGATAGGACAAAGATGCCCAAAAGTGCAAGCCGTAGCCATCAAGGCCGAACTCCAAGTCGTGAGAACCTGCATCGCGGAGACCTGAAACGTAAACACTACGGCTCAACGATTTAATTGACATCAGAGCCTGAACATCTCGGGCCCCATGCGTTTGGTGAGTTTATAGCATCCGACTCTAGCGCTTCCACCAAGCACTCCAGTAATGCTTGCTGCGAGTGCCCGCGCGTACCGTTGTCCTTGTTGCTGCTGCTGTCAGCCACATCTGTTCTCACCATTCCCCGTCAGGTTTCCTGTTCGGCTTGGGTTCGGACACGAAGTTCAAGGCTTCGTGTCTAGGCTGCATGTTTGTCCACAGCTTTGTCCGAGCAGGGTGATCGTGCTGATTGTCATTGATCGAGCTCTAGCGGGGTAGGGGCCTGTCGGGGCAAGAAAGAATCCTCGTCGTCTTGTTCTCTGGGTTTGACTTGTTCATGCCTCTTATGATTTCAATAGCAAGCTTTGCGCAGGCCCAGCACTGCACTTGTGGTTCTTCTCTTTTTTGCCTCGAAGGTATCGGCGAAGCGATGGTCAGCGGGCTCACTTTGGCAGGAGCCGTATCCGCTGCAGGGCTCCGGCCTCCTGCGCAGACCGGGAAAGCCGACCTCCTTTTGAAGGTCCCCAATATGAGCCCATGTGTCTGTCACAGCCTTCAAAACACTGCGTGGGAACCTGCAGCGTGGTTCATCCCAAATCCTTAAAACAACATCGACTAACGCAACTTAAAACTCCAGTCTAGTTGGGCAGATTCCCTCACCAGCGTGCCATTGAAATGCTTGACAACTTAAGGTGGCAATAGATATGTGGGGTCGGATGGACTGGGGTTGGGCTTGTTTGTGTGTTTGCTGTCAGGGCAGTGTGCGCTTTGGAGTCTTCGTTGAGGGCGTTTTGAGCTTTGAGGCTTGTCCGCATCTATGGAGTGGCTTGAGGCCTTCTGGGCTCCTCAGAAGATGTTGCTGCGGTGTTTTTCGCAGATTCCCCATTGCCCGTTCGTCAACTTGCGTGATTTCCGGACATGCTTTCCGCACACGGCCCACCGTAAACACACAGCACGTCTGCTCAAGCAAAACAGGCACCAGTGATTTCATGTTGGGGGTATGATGGTGCAGTCAGCAAGACGCAGGCCGTGAGACCTGGAACCGGGATCTTCAGGGCTCCGCCTGCGAGTCAGTTGAACCTCAAACTGGACCTTTAATTCCGACTCCGAGGTTTCAGAAGCTCCACATGCTGAACTCATAAGCTCTCATCCTGACAACGCTCCGTGCCTCCGGCTTGTTCTTGATGATCTCATCAGGCCCGTAGAAGCCTGATGAGAGCCTGCAAAGCCTCGATGCAGGTGTGGCTTCTCCAGAAACTGCAGGTTTCACAAGATTTGCTACTTGTTTCGTTCCCTTCCACAGACGAAAGTCCAACCACATTGGTACAAGTGCTGGGCAAGAGCACTATGTTTGAAGTCACCTGTGCTCGGACAGCAGGCGTGAACCAAGATAAGTTGCTAAACAGTCCAAAATTTGTTCAGTAGGATCTTCGTGGGAGGCACATGCTTGGAGACAAAGCTACACAGAAACAGTCATGTGACATAAATTACATTCATGAAAGCCTTCATCCCATCTCCTCTGTCTGCTAGCTGCCTTCGTGCAACATTATCGGGGATCGAAGCGATAATAGTATCCACCAGCCTATTTTCGTCACAGGGTTCCCACATCATAGCTCCTGCTCCGTATCTCGACACACTAAAGCCACGGCACGTGTAGGTCACGGTTCTTGGCGCCAGGAAAGTGGCGGGATCTGTCACGGACGAGCAGCCGAGCTGAGCAAAGTCCTGGAATCTAGAATCTCTACACAGTGTGGCTTGCCTACAGTCGCCTGCAGCGGGTCTACACATAGACCGTCTGGGTTGGCCAAGCCCTTAACTCCCCCTATGTACGAACCCAGTTATCAACCTGTCAGGTCAGATCAAAGTAGCAACATTGTCGTCAACGTACTTGGGTTTTTGTCGTTGCTAACACGATCTTGCTGACCTTCATTGCCATTCTTACCGGTAATGTAGTATCGTCGCCGTCGTAGGAGCTCTAGCAGTAGCAGTAGCTCACTCGTGCTCTAAAAGTCTCGCGAGCTTCTACCACCAGGTCGTCATCCCGCACCCTCGACCTCAGGCAATAATTTCTAAACCCAACCTCACAAAGCATGCGGCTCGAGTTGCCCCAAGTATCGCTCCCACTTTCCTGGCAATGTCAAGGGTTCCAGTTCGGGCTCAGGGACTCAATGTTTCTAGCAGGAAGAATCAGCCGAGGTCATGGAAATTTGCAAACCGGGATACTTCTGTTGAGGATCTCGTATGGACCGCAGACTAGATGTATGTACAGTTCAGTCTTCGACCGTCGTACCTTAAACGACGCCGTCAACAAAGAGCGACTTCGCCCTGTACACAATGCCGTCACTTTAGAATGTGCGGAAGGACTGACGACGAGATTGCAAGATACTGCAGGCAAGACTGAACGCCTAACAGAGCAATCGCCAGTCTCGTCTTTTCGTCAACATCGAGAGACCTCTGTGCTCCAACAATGTCGCTCACAAATCAGGAGCCCTGAATCAGCCAGAGACACAAAAACCCGAAACCAAAGCCGCGAAACACAATCTTCGGAAAGGACCTGCCACCTGTTTGCACACCTGAAATCCCTAATCAGTGAAACCGCAAAGTCAAGCAACAAAACCCACATCCGCTGAACGCCCGAAGCCCGAAGACTAAAACGACACAATCTCTAACATCCCTCAACCCAAAGAAGCACTAACCTCACCTTTTTAAAAGCATCCCTAACAGAAATCGATCGACCGTCGGCCAAGCCGTACTCGAAGCGGGCGAGAGTGTGACGCCTCCTGGAAACTTAGGGCTTGGGGTTTTATGATGAGGCTTGAAGGGTCTGTGGCATTTTGCGGTTCAGTTTAGTGTTTAAGATATTGAAAGCTTCAGAGCTTGAGGATTCAGAGTTTAGGTCCCGACGATTCGGCTGTAGGTGTTGGGGCCGTTAGGGAGGATGTGGGGATGTCCACAGGTTTAAGGCTTAGGGTCCCTAGTGGCTTGTTTCTCCGCAGGTCAGATGTCGAGCTCTTCGCGAAAGGTCAGCATATCAGAACATGTCTGCGTTTGTTCTTTCAACTCTGGCCGGGTCGATCCCATGCTGGAGTGAGGGGTTGGGTGGCTAGCACAAAGTACAATGCACTTCACCTCGAGCTGATCTCAGTTCTGCATACTCGAGAAGGCAACGGCCACAGGTGCCCCACTGAAGGAAAATGAGAAGCCGTGACAGGATTCTTAGAGTGTGGTTCACATGAAAGGAGACCTCAGAAGCACAAGCAAAGGATGCCCCAACGGGTCGCCTACCAGCTGTGCTGGGCCATGGCTCGAAAGTGGGAAACACCAGCGCAAACGTTGGTTGCAAAGGCCTGCTCCTATGGAGTCTGAGGTACTCAATCCAACTGCCTCCAACTTTGAAGAGCGTGCCTGGTGCAAAAGAAAAGGCCTCAGGACTGTCGACTTGTGACAGCGGTAGCGTTTCAGAATACTTCCCTGTGTCCCTAGTTCCCTCCCTGCCGAAGTTTAGATGGGACGTTAGGGACGCCAGTGAAGAATCTTGGTGCAGAGCATTTCTGAGCGGCCTGTCTACCCAACACAACCCAAGCTCTTTACGGTTTACGGCGTTTACGGTTTGACCGCACTCGATCTGCGCGTCCTCGCAAGGGAGGCTCACAGAGAGCTGATTCCCGAAGAGGCCAAGGTTTGCAGTCAGCGCCTTGCGAAGAACAATGTATTTAAGATAGGTGCTCTAAAGACTGGAAGGTGTTCAGACACTGTCATGTGGGCGGATCGAGATCTCGGACCTCAGCAAAGTGACAAACACGATTTGAGCTTTTGTGAATCGACTGCGAGTGAGCTATGCCTGCTCTCGGGTGTAAACTCTGGCATTGAGCAGCTTCACTTGCAACTTCCAGGCCGCAAAAGCCACTGCACCCAAGCAGAACCTACACACATACGAGCCCTTGGCCCTGAAGCTGCCAGGCAAAGCCGCAATTACTCAATGGAGCCAACCGCAGGAAGGAAAAACACACACGGTTGGCCTGGCAGCCAAAGTGGCCCTTGTAGCCGATCAGGGAGTCGCCGGCATAACCTGCTCATGTCGGACTTCGACCAATAGGCAAAATGCATGTAAAGTAGACAACATGCACGGACCTCTTCCTGTCATGGGGTTCCAGTACATGACGGTTGCTCTCTATCGCACTTGCTACTGCTGGTACTACTGCTGCTACTACTGCTGCTGCTGCTGCTCTTACTGCGACTGCTACAAATGCTTAGTTACAATGTTGAGTGTCATGCTCGCATGGATCCCAAGTGCAATTGCAATCATGTAGGCCCAAACAAAAATCCAGTGGCCCCCCCGTGTAAACCCTAAATCCGTGACTGTATAGTTTTTTCTGTTGTCTAAACTGTAAGCCCTATTCCCCAAATCCGAAACATGCAACAAGCCCCAAACCCCGAAACCGTGCCTTAAGGGCTTACGATGCAAGGCGCTACTATGTACTGCGGAATTCCGCTTCGAGTGTCAGGGCTTTGACATTGGGTCCCGTGCTTTGCAACCCAAAGCTCTGAGACCTTCTCTGAAACTTCATCCATCACCCATATTTCATAAATTTCCTGCCTGACTGCCGCGCTAGACTTCGTTAGATCAACGATCTTGCAGGAAGGTTGTAGCCTACACCCCAAATCCCCAATGGCTCCACATGGAACCGAGGCACCTGGGTGGG